CTTCATTTTTAATACGGACATCCGAAGGGAAGATAATACCTTGCTACCAAAGCCCAGATGCCAACTAATTACTACAAGAGACTCCAGCCCTGACATCATAGGCCAGGCCTCTGACCACACTCCATCTTACCCAGTGACCCCACTGTGGTGATTAATAGCTTGAGTGCTAAGCCCTAATGAGTGTGTCAGATCTTAGATGTTCCATAAGCTAATGCAATTAGCATTATGTTGAATAGGATATTTTAGTCACTTGGTAGAGAGATTCATGCTTTATAGGAAATTATATGCCTTTTCACCTTACGGTCTTTGCATTTATTTCATAATCATCATTCTAAAAGGCCTCTATAAATAGAGGCCTTTCAAATATTAAAGAAAAAATAAACACATCCTACGTTCACTGAACGGAGAATGATCGTTGGGGCATCAAGCTCTGTCTGAGCCTCACTGGATGCTACAGGAAGCCTGCGTTTCCCAGCAACCCCAAGCCCTGCCTCTAGGTAGGGAGGTGTAAGAGTTCTAACCAGTGGAATGAGCGCAGAAATGACTTTTTTTTTCCCTTCCAGATCTGGCCCCTAAAATATCCCATTGACTTTCCATGCTGCCGGCATTCATTCTCTGTCCAGATGGAGCAGATTTAGGGACACTACAGCGCCTTACGCAATGGCATAGCCACTGGGTGAAACACTGCTTGAGGATGCATTGCTGGAGCAAAATAAACTAGTATAGCCAGCCGCAAGGTGCTGGGACTTTGAGGTTGTTTGCTTAAAACTAATACAGTCAATTAAGACTTGACTTAATTAAAAAGTTATGTAATTTTTTTCTTGCTTATAAGTTCATCAACAATCTACTCAACATGAAATTATGAATATAAAGGACCTGAATTCTAAATTCAATAGAAATGTTAATTCACTAAAGGAATCTGTTTCCATTGTATTAAAAAGGGTGTGTGGGGGGGAGGCAACATATCTTAACATTAGCACATTGTGGAGCTCAGGACAAGATGACTTTGTGTGTTGCTCTAGCAAATCATTATAAAGAACCCTGACCCCTGGGATAGAGAAAGAAAACCTGAAGCACAATATCTACTACTTCTACAGTCATCAGAAATAGCAGTCATAAGCCTTCAAGCCACTTCCAAAGGAGGATCTCAGAAGGTGTTTTAGAAGCAGAATTTTTCAATGACATAGTCAAATAGCATTTTAAAGATACCTATTGTTACTGGGGGAGAAATGCACCAATTTAACATAAACAAACGGGTACGGGAGACATATACTGAATTAATGTAAAATTGCTAACATACAGAAAAGTGGAAAACATAGACACACACACACACACACACACACACTCACACACACAGGATTACTGGGGGAAATTTTTACCTGGTGTACAATAGACAATATACTAAAGAATAATTATTATGTCACTAAACAAATGACTTTGGTGGGCAAAGGCCTGAATTAGGTCTGCAATTTTCTTCAGGTAAAGAGGGAGACATGAGAAAGGCAGAACAGCACAGTGATGAAATGTTTAGGGTCTCAATTTCTATCTGCCACTAATGAGCTGTTTGACTTGGAAATACATTTTGTTTTCTCTCTATGTCCTCAGCTACAGAATGGAGAGAAGTTAATACTTATTTTATAGATTATTAAGAAGATTAGGTCATATGACACACAGCAAACATTTAGAGGGGTCTTAGCTGAAATTTAATACTAATAAATATTGGATATTTTTACTAATGATATAGTTTGATCACTATGAGCCATGTTATCCTCACTTGGAAAGAAACAAATTCCACTAGATGTTTTGTATGAGTACTTTAAGCAGTGTATTCTGAGTTTATACCTGTCTCTTAAAGTCACATATGCCATTGAAAAATGAAAACTCAAATCTAAATATTTCAATAAATGACTTAAAAAATCTATAAGACAGTCTGCTCTGCTGTTGAAATTGATTTAAAGAAGATAGGTGGCATACAAATGTACTAATTCATTTCTATATATACATATATAATATTTAACATTCAGAAACGACATGGTACTTTGATTTATTCATTATCCCTCATGAATAACCCTCATTTGAATATGAAATGTAACAAGATAATTGTCAGGCAACCATTTAAATTTTAAAGTGTCATATTTAGTGAGTACAGAGATAAAGAATTATTTCAATCATGCAAACCTGAATGGACCCAAAAGGCACATAATCACGCTCCATTTTCACAGCTTAAGGTGAAGTACTTCCTTGGCTTATCAACTGTCAACAACATTCACAGTTTCTCATTCAGGAGAAAACATTTCAACTAACAGTAGCATCGTAAGAGATGATATGAACACTGGACTATATAGACTTTATTCCAAATTAAATGGACCCTTAGAAGGTCAATAATTTAGTAAATCTTCGTTTGTACAAAGAAATCCTCATCCAAACAACTATTCTAGTAAGACTCAGAATGATGTGAATAGTTTAGGATACTGATTCACTAAAATTATTAAAAATTCCCTTCCAGTGACCAGTTTAGTTGATTTTAAGTGGCTCATATGAAAACAGGGTTTTACTATTTCAAAATGCTGCATGTACAACATTGTGGGGTGGATGAACAGTTTTCTTAATCCAGGATTATGTGTATTCAAAAGAGCCTTACCTCCTGCATACATTACAGCCAGCATAATGGATGATATCCAGGCTATTTCACTGTAGCTGGTGCTGAATATTTGCTGAATTTCTTTGAAGAATACTGTGATGGCTTTGGGGAATGCGTATGAGAATCCGATGGAGATAAAAGACGCTGCAACCACTACCCAGCCCCACCCTCCATCAGGAGGTGGGTGTAGTGGTGGGCCACCTGCAGGTGGTGGCATTTCTGCTCTTCTCTTTGCAATTCAGGTAACCTGTATTCAAATAATGAAATACAGATTTAAACCCTATTTTCATTTTTATATTTCACTCTTGATCGACATTAAAATAAATAGTATTTTCCAGTTAGAGCTACAACTATATCATCTTTCATGAATATTTTTAATACCCTTGTACTCAGAAAGTTTTCAGAAAAGAAACTTGAATAATGGATTGAGGTATGTAACTGACTGCTATGTGATAGGACCTGAAAGCATTTAATTTGTTTATGGAAGCAAACATTACTTGAAGAGAAGTTCAGATTTCAGATCTGTACTGAAGTACCAACCAAAAAAAATAAGAGCAATCTCAATCTGATTTCTAAGTATAAAGAAAATGGAGCTAGCGTCACTTAAAACTGAATATTTTTTAATACAAAATGTTTGAGTTTTTATATAACCATTTATTGAAAAAAAAATAACTGAGGTTACTTAAAAATATTTTAGCACAGATCTGTTTTCTAAACCTATAAGAATGCAATTCCAACCAAAGTTAATTTAGGTCATTAAAACCATACAATTTCTAATCTTATAGGTTTAGAAAATGTTTTAATGAAAGATTTTACATATTTTTGTAGCAATGATATTCTCTTAGTCAATGGATAGTACTTTATTGTTTATTAAAAGAAAGGTACTGTCTTTTTGGTTATGCCAAGGAACATAACTGTTTGCTTTACAACCCACTCTCTTGTGGAAACAATGATCACACATAATTTCATACAATTGATATTAAATTACAAACAACTTTCTTCCCTAACACTAATATTTGTTTGTATTATGCAACTTTACTGAATTCACTGATTAGTTCCAATAGTTTTTGGCAAAATCTTTGGGTTTCTGTAAACAGAGACAATTTTACTTCTTTCACTCTGATTTGGATGCCTTTGATATTTGTTTCTTGTGTAATTAGTCTGATTAGGACTTTAAGTATTTGATCACCATTTATTTGCCCTGTTCTACTAAATGATACATGCTGATGACATGAAAGATTTGAATGTCTTCAGTATACTGACAGTCTGCTTTTGTAATAATTTTTGCTTTCTTGGCAATAACCAAAATTATCTATATATTTAATTTGAATTTTGGCTTATACACAGGAGCACTGGAAATAATATATTTTTAAAAGTATTAATACTTTTAAGAAAGAAAGAGAAAAAGAGATGTTGTACATGTGGGTTAGATGAGCTGGAAATAGCAATCGACCATTGAAAGTTGTCTGAAGAATATGAATTTACATATTAGTGAAGTTTGTTAGTATATTTTAAAGTGGTCAAACTTCTTATTGCTTGAAAATATCTTTTTTTAAAAACATGGGAGAATACTAAGGAAATACCAAAGGCGTTTATGTGGGCATCTACTTTATTTTATTACCAGAGAGTACAAATAATTATGAAATTTAAAGACCTTATTCTGCAATTTTCCTGCTGTATAAAGGAATAAAAAATCTTTCATTATTAATTCATGAGTTTAAGCTCATAGCTTTTATTACATCTGCTATAGTAAACACTTAAAAATACAACTGGATGATTTATTTTTCAGTCATTTCAAGAGTCATAATAACATTTCTAACTAATTTTAATTCTACATTTTTAGATAACCATATCAAGTGAATAATATTGAAATTTACTAATATTCAATTATGTTATAAATATTAATATTAACATTTACTAATGAGCTAGGTTGATGTTGAGATTTCTATTTTACATATAGAAATCTATGCTCACAGAAAAAGTGAATTTATTGCCCGAACCAGGAGGTCACGGTTCGATTCCTGGTCAGAGCACATGCCTGGGTTGCCCGCTGGATTCCCAGTGAGGGGTGGGCAGGAGGCAGGCAATCAGTAATTCTCTCTCATCATTGATGTTTCTATCTCTTTCCTTCTCCTTTCCTCTCTGTTATCAATAAAAATATATTTTAAAAAAAGAAAAAAGTGAAACCATTATATGATTGAGCTGTTTTTTCCCTCTGCACAATTTAGCAGTTTATCTTAGTATATGATCTTTTATTTTCTATTTATAGCATATTTCCTTAATTTTAATTGTAACCACAGACTACAAATTACAAGTCACTAGTTATATACCTCTTAACACTTCCTTATCTCCTACCTGTTTTGTTTCTTCCATATAAATTGAAATCTGATGATATCTTAACTAAATCATTGCAAAGTAAACTCAAGACCAATTAACCCTTGAAAAATTATACTTTCGAGTTTGTCACCTGTTCATTATTAACAACTCTTGAGATGACTAATAGTCAAGGTCCAAATCAGACACACTCATTGGCCTCATTTATTGTCCCTTGCTCAATTCTATAATATTTTATACAACTTATGGCTTTTATTTGTTGGGGCATAATCAAGAAAACGAAGTATAGCTTTACCTGTTGACAGATTCCCACTTGTACAGACTTCTTTGGTTTATACGTGGAATTGGTAAGTCCAGTCACTATTCCTCGAAGTGTGGTATTTGAAGGCAATACAGGGAAGAGAGGTAGAGCAGACTCCAGATTATCTGAAAAAATAGAAAACACGGGTTACATATATAATTGAGTTCTACAAGCCTCACTGGAGCCACTAGCTATAACTCGTTCCAGTACTTTGGGACTAAGGTTTAATAATGAGCAAAATTGTATATACAGGATTGGGCAACAGTAGATTTGCAGTTCTGAGTATGCAAAACACAAAGTTTATTCATGTATTATTTATTAATTTTGTATTATTTTCCATATGAACAACTGTAAACCACTTTTGCCTCACCTTGCATGCATAGATACATATATCTAGGTTTATATTTCTTTGCCAATCCATTAAAAGGATAACTAAAGTATGAAGAAAATGATTAAATATGTGCATGAGAAAAAATATAAAATGAAGAATTAGTTTTTAAAACAATAAGCAACAATAGATTACATATCCACCGATATGAGAAGGAAATTTATTGGCAGTCATTGAGTGTAATACTGCCACTCAATAGTGTCAGTTAAAGAAAATATCCATTGACAATGAAAATAAGTAGAAAATTTAAAAGAAAATTATTAGAAATGCTATCAATAATACACATGTCTTACAATGAGACAGACAAGGTCATGAGAAAGAAAAGCATTTTAGGAACCTCTGATTTAGAATTCAAACATCCTAATCAAGCCTGGGCGACAGATGAACCTGCTAACCCTCCCTAATACATCAAATATCTTTATTTCATCTTAAATCTGGTGGTGACTGTATAGCAGCTAGTCCTTAAGCGTTTATTTGGTTTGGCCCAAACATTCCCTTGCTTAGTTTAACGCTAAGAAAAAGTCAACTCTTTCTATTGCATAACCAGCTGCCTGCCTTGCATCCAGGGCCACTTGACCTGAAGTGGTGAGTGAAAGCTGACCAGCCGCTAGGTCAGATGAGGTTGGTATGAGAGGATGAAGAAAGTCTGCGTTCTAGTAGCCAAGTCAGTGAGAAACTGAGGGGCGGGTCTAGAATGAAGACTGGAAATTAGAAAGTCATGGATAAAATCTGAGAAAGAAAGCCAAAATTAGAGTTTTAACTTGGGCTGAGAAGGATGAGCTCACCTAAATGGGCCTCCTAAGCCTGGGTCACAGCAGAGGGTACAGGGGCACATCCTTGGGAGCCTTGGTGAGTTTTTTAAGCCACATAGCTCAAACATAGCAGCTCCATCCTACCCCAAGGAACCAGCACATCCATAGGTAGGAAATACATTTTCTCTCTGTTCCCTCGGCAGAGAGAGCCGGCTTGAGTTCAGGGCAAAGCCTCAGAGGAAAGCATGAGGCATTCCTAAAAATTGGGCTCTGTCCCTCCAGTCTATGCCCAATTATCATTATGGTGTATGAAGGCCCACACAAGAGTCATAATAACAGAAATATGGACAAGTCCACGTTCTAAATTCTACAAAATTTTCACAGCGCCTTAACCTAACTAGTCTAGACCAATCCATATCTAGAGCTTTTCCTCCCTGGTAGGAATGGCAATAATAAAAGATTTTACATCCTTTTCTCTACATCGATTAATATAGTATATTTTAATACACATTTATGCAGATATTGTTATACAATTCATATATTGGCCTTTGGTTTTAAAAATAAAAGACAGTATTTTAGAATTTGTGTGTTTGATAAAAAAACACACACACACACACACACACACAAAGAAAAACACAAAGAACAAAAAAACAATAGAAGACCAATTCTTAAAGCAAGTGAGGAGGCTGTCCTTGAATTTGGGAAAGCAACTATTCTGGAAAGTTTCCTTCAGTCCAAATAGGCATATATCTTATTCTCCTCTAAAAAAAGAGTGTAAATTACTATAGCTGGAATCTGGGCAGTGGTTATCAGCAAATTTGGTTTATTTGCAATTCACATATATCCCATGTTTTATAATGGATTTTAGTTATAACAGAGTGCATTGAAAAAAAAGTACTTTAGAGCATTTCATATTTTTCTAAAGATTCAATTATCATAATCCCCAAAATTAAGAGAAAGTTGTATTTTTTAAATCACACTTATAGATGCAGATATAGAAAATCAGAGGTGTGAAGTGATTTTTCCAAAGTGTAACGTCCAACAAGTGATCAAATTGGTACCATGACGAGTATCTTTTTGTCTGGCCCATTGTCACTGATTCCACTTGAACACACCAACTTGGAGGCTGTTCTGGCAGCTTACAAATATCCTCCTTCAGTTTTGCCTCCATGATGAAGTCCCAAGTTCAATTCTTGCACATAATCTCTCCTGCCTTGTCCATTGGAATTCAAAAACTTGTTCTTTGGAATGGAAAATCCCAACTATCCTTCAAAATCTTTAGAAATTCATCATTGTTCCAACTTATTCATATCTATCTTTTTATACTGTTTTTTGAAAATACAGACGATAATATATCATTGTTGTTAACAAGAAGGTGACTTGATGACTACTGAAAATATCTGACTATTTCAGATATTTCAGAAGTTGTGGGGGAGGAATACACTTCCCTCTACCCTCCAGATTCTTCTGGCTCATCTAATAATCAAATAGACATGAGATAGATTAACTAGAGAAAAAAACCAAATTTAATACATACATATGTATGGGAACCCCACATACATGAGAGAGTCAGAGATCCCACATGTCCAAGAGCTTCAAAGATAGAAAGGGGGATTGAGGTATATAGGACACCCTGAGCTAGGGAGGGAATGAATCATGGGGGCTTCAAAGGGTCATTGCAGGATGGTAAGAGCAGATGTTTAGTAAATAGAAGTCTGCCCTGCTCTACAGATACATAAAGTTATCTCTGATAGTGTCTTACTATGGGTAAGATCCCTGATTCAAGTCCTTCTAGGGAGGGGCAGAAGTTTCTCCTGAGCCTGTGACTAGGTTTGCCTTTAGCTCAAAGTAATCTGCACACCACAGAGGCACATATTGGGGTGGCTCATTCTGAACCCCCACAGAGTGTTTTTCAAAAACTTATGTGGAAGGATATGCTAACCCCCAAGAACTTTGCCTTATCTTCTAGAAATCAATCTGTGTTGGTTACTTTATGAAGAAGACCTAGGATAAAGAAGTAATGCAACTAGGCCTGCCAGGCGTGGCTTTGTTGTTTGGAGCATCATTCCATACATTGAAAGGTTGCAGGTTGATTTTCGGTCAGGGCACACACCCAGGCTGTGGATTTGATCTCTGGTCAGAGTGCATTCCGAAGGCAACCGCTTAATGTTTCTCTATCACATTGATGTTTCTTCTCTCCCTCTCCCTTCTTTTCTCTCTAAAATTAATAAAAACATATCCTGGGTGAGAATTAAGAAAAAAAAATAAGTAATGAAAATATCAGTAATAGTCAATAGTTAGACTCTAGTATTATATTCAAGGGTCTTTCTCATTCAGTTGTACAGAATATCAGAATGTTTCTTTAGATGTTTTATGAATAATTATTTCTTCAACTTACCAAACCTAAATCAGGATACACCAATTTAATAGTCTATGCCAGGGGTGTGGAACTTTTTTTCTGCCAAGGGCCATTTGGGTATTTATAACATCAGTTGTGGGCCATACAAAATTATCAACTTAAAAATTAGCCTGGTGAACTTGGCCAAACATTTAATTAACTCACCCCCTAATGACGTGGCGGGGCCAGACCAAATGATTTTGTGGGCCTTATAGAGCAAGCACGTGTGTCGGACGTTCTGTGGCATCCAGAAGTTTATGTTTCAAAATACAGTCCAGAAATAATGTACTTAGCAAACTAATCCCAAATTGAATCAGTAGTGGTTAGGAGACGATTGGCTTCACAATAAATTTTTCTAGATAGTTGCAGTGGTTCTCAACCTTCCTAATGCCGTGACCCTTTAATACAATTCCTCATGTTGTGGTCTCCCCCAACCATAAAATTATTTTTATTGCTACTTCATAACTTTAATTTTGCTACTGTTATGAATCGTAATGTAAATATCTGATATGCAGGATGTATTTTCATTGTTCACGACCCACAGGGTGAGAACCACTGGTTTAGAGATTAAAGCACGAGTTATTCTTTACATCTTACCTCTAAAACGGCCTGTTTTCACCTAAAGGAATTAATACGCTCCTTTGCTCTCTATTTCCTCTTTATTATATAAAAGGATATAGGAATGCCAAATTAATGTACAATGTTTAAGTTTAGGTGACAACTCGCCCAACTTTATAACAGGAATTAAGCTGAACCGAATATTTTCTTTTCCAACACATTACTGAATTAAAATTGGAATCTAGTCCCGGAAAGTTGTGTTTGTTTGGTTTTTTTTTTTTAAAGTGGTCCATCTTTTAAACCCTACTGACTGATTCACGTTGACAACTAGACAAGAGAGGTGTCAATAGTGCATGGCCCACAAAATGTCAGTAACACAAAACCTATTTTTAGATGTAAATTATAGCTGCAGTTAAAAGGACTCTGAAAATGTTCATTGTAATAGGGTCAAACTAACTAAAATTGTTTTTATAATGGGAAAATAATATGAACCAGCACAGAATTATTTATGAAAAATTAGACATTGATATCCCATACTAAACAGTTCCCCTAATACTATACTTGTAGAATTTTGAAAAGACAATTATAGTGGGCTGAATAGTGACTGCCAAAAAGGATGTCCATATCCTGTCCTAACCCCCAGATCTATAATATGCTTTACCTGGTCCTATAGACTGAATATTTGTGTTCCCCCCAAAATTCTCATGTTAATATCTAATCTCCAGTATGATGGCATTAGGAGATGGGGCTTTTGGAAGGCGATTAGGTCATTAGAGTGAAGACTTTGTAAACGGAATTACTACCCTTATAAATGAGGTCCCAGAGAGCTCCCTGAAATACTTACACATGTGAAAGTGGCTTTGGAACTGCGTGACAGGGAGTTTTGAGGTACATACTAGAAAAAGATTATTGCCTGTAAATGACTGTTGAGAGCAATTCTGGTGAGAGCCTAGAAAGAAAAGCACAGAGCTATAGAGAGAGCCTACATCTTCTTAAAAGAATACCTGCCATCTTAAATAGAAAACGGTA